ACAGTCCTAGGTCCTAAGTCCCAGCAATATACTGTATCAATTGTATCACTTATATAGCGATTTCTTGGGCACCTACCCTGCAGACAAAAGTTGGGCATGCGGAGTCGTTCCTGACGGCTGACACTCAATTGTGTCAAGACCATGGAGGAGTGGTTTACACATACGTCAGTCAGGCAGAGATCACCGGAAGAGCGCCTGCACTGAAGTATACTGCCAACAACACCCTCCCAAATGTGCTCACTTTGTCGTCCTTGAAGGAGAAAGCGGCTGACATTATCGCAAAGAGAGAGGCAAAGGCCAAGGAGCTGGCTGAGAATCACCCACCAGGTGGAATTCCTCCTAACCCATATGAAGATGATGATGATGCAGAAGACTTTGCCCAAGCACCTTCAGTGGGCACAATTGCGGCCAGTGGTGCTGCCAAGGCTGCGCCAAAGAGACGGGGTGGCATGGCTGCGGCGGGTACAGCCAAGAGACGACAGGCTGTGGCGGAGAGGGAAGACAGCCCTTCTCCGACAAGGAGCCTAATGAGTGGTGACTCAAAGAGTCGTGGCATTGGAAGAGGTGCCAAAAAGGGAGGGATCATTGACCAGCAAGCGGCTGACCAATTGAAGAAGGATGATCCTGATCTTTACCAAGTTGTGGATTGCCTGGGGTACGTGCCAGAGTGCTTCTCGAATTTGGAGCTGAGCAAGCTCTTCGATGAAAAATTGGGCAGATCCGTCTATCAGGCTCGGATGATTGTTGCCCTTGGCCCTTGGCTCTTCCCCGTCTGATAGAAGCCTGGTATCGTCTTGAGTCTTGAGTCTACAAGTCGCTTCGTAGTCGTAGATTAACTTTGAAAACCAAGGAACGAAAGGGTTTCAATGTCAAAGTACTCAAGTAGACAAGTGTTTGACATACCCTCCCAATGTCAGTTTCCTCAGAGTCTTGCTCGGTGCAGGGGAAGCGCATCCTGGCAACGATGGAGGAAAGGGGAGCTTTGCAAGCCGTGATTTTGAAGAAGCGATTGGAGTTAATGGAACATGGCCGAGATCTTGCGAACATGTGCAAGCAGAAGGGGGCCATTGACAAGAACAAGTATCTCTCGGCTGTGAATGCCTTGGTTCAAAGGAAGGTGAAGTTTCCTTTGGAGATTGCTCTTCGAATCAGTGTGATTGAGGCTGCTCACAAGTTCGAAGCCCTTTTTGACCCAAAGCTCAGGGATGAGGCAGAAATCAATGCGCTGGTCACGGACTTTGTTGAAATCATTTCACCTGACTTTGGTCCAGATTCCAATTCGCAGGACTTCAATCCCAGTTCCCCACGCCTTCTCGACCTCTTGTGTGAGACATTGGATGCATGCAGGAGCGGCTTTGCAGAACTCACTCCATGCCTGTGGGAGGCCCCTGCTGATGAAGATGAAGAGTCCATCCAGAAGCAGAACATGGCACATCGCTGGTCAGTCTCCTGGTTTATGTTTTGGGGCTGGGGGTGTGGGGCAGCAGTATGGTAAGGGGGAGAACGACTGCTGCTAGCTGCTAGCATCAGCTAGTCCACAGTCACACAGTAGCAAATTGCTTTATGCTATAAATTAGAAATTGTTATTATCAGAGCTGCTTTGTCTAGAGTCCATAGTCCGTGTTGTATCCCCAAGTCACAGGCACAAGAATCCAGCACATTACATTATATAATGGTTCAATTGACGACAACAGGGTAGATAATAGATAATGGCTGTTTTTGTCTGTCTGAGTCTGAGTTTGTGTGTCTGCGCAAGTGAGGCGATTGCAAAAGCCTTGACGGACTGCTTGGCCCACGATTCCTTTGTCAAGGCCATGAGTGCTACGAGTGTCGCCCAAGGCCCGCTTCTCAATCTTTTGAAGAAGATTCATGTCGTGATCCAGAACGGCAAGGGTTCTCCTGCATGGGTGGATCTTAAGGAGCTTGGTTCAGCTGTCGAAGATGCCTATGAGGGACTCCACACTGTGGTCAAGGGCGTCTTGGTTCTGCTTCACCCGAGTCCTGAAACCCTTGACTTGTCTGCCAAGGATTCCACCATGTTGCTGAACTACAAGGGGAGTGACCCATTCATGGCAACAGTTCATGGGGTGATCACTGATCAGCAGTTTTGGCAGAAGCAAACTGACCTTACCAACCGGACTGCAGGTTCCGCAAAGGAACACTTTCCCATCTTGAAGTCATGCTTTGCATCAGCGCTCCAGGCCTTCAATGGCGGATGTCGGCCAGAGATTTGGCTTACTACCCTTGGAGAGGTTTTGCCGAAGCTGGACACTTTGCGCCAGGGACTAAAGCCTGGTGCAACATCTGCACTTGAAGAGATCTTGGTGCAAATGATCGTCCCGGTCTGCAAGTTTGTAGCCTCTGCCAAAGGTGCCGCAGGAATTGATTCAGACGCAGTCCACTGCCTGTTGGACAACTTAGCTTTGTTCAATGAGTTCCACCTTGCAAAGCTCAACCTGCCTGAGCTTGGTGCCCCTCCCGAGATTGCCCAGACCCTCACCAAAATGGGGGAGAGGCTTGAGGAGTGGCGAGGGAAAATGGCCAGCGAAATTGCTACCAGTCGACTTGAGAGCTTCGCAAAGTCATCATTGGAGAAGGCCCGTGGTCAGGCAAACCTTCAATTTGACTTGGAGGAATTTCTTCGATTGACTGGGGACGTGGAAGAGATTGCTGAGGAGCTGCGTGGTGAGATCTTTGAATTGGTAGCCCTGAGCATTTCCCAGGTGCACCAAAAGGCCGGGGGCAGATTATGCATTCCAAGAATCTAGAATCTAGAACTCTAGGCCAGGCCTAAGCCCTAAGGCTCCAAGGTCCTCCCCTTAGACCCGCACCCAAAGAGGTCATAGGGAAGGGTTAAGGCTCTAAGCCAGTTTTTGTTCGCTGATGCACTGGAAACTTTTTCACTGGTTGATTTCACTCCAGGTGTGCTCCTCCAAGCTGGATGTCAGCGAGATTCGGGCCATTGAGACTGGATTGGGGAAGGTGATCAAGAAGTGTCAGACTCAGAATGCTTGCGAAGATGCTTTTTTGAAGCTCCTCTCCACCTACTCTGCCGGAGCTATGGCAAGGGATGCCATTGACAAGTACGAGAGCTTGGGGCCAAATGGACCTTCACGAGTTGAAAGGGACAGCAACAGCTTGAACTTGTTGGCGACAGGTAGGCACGTGACTGCATTCTTCAAAACTGTGAGGACTACCAATGAGACGATGGAAAGCACCAAGCAGGGTGATGTCTACAAAGATGCCACCCCTTTTGTCCAGGTGGCATTGAACACTGATCCAGGGTCTGCCTTTTCCAGCCTCAAGACTGCAGTGATTGCTGAAGCCATTGCATTGAGCTGCAAGGCTTGCGCAGGGCAAGTTTCAGCAGCTCTTAGCGCTTTGAAAGCAACAAGCAATGGTATGGAGGCGAATGGAGACAATGACTGGAAACGTGAAATCAAGAATCCTATGAACCTTGATGAAGTCATCGAGATCGCTGGAGCAACCTTGGCCAAAATGGACGGTAAAGCGCTTGGCAACAAGATCTTGGGGCTTGAGCAGGCTGGGCGGCTTGGCCCGGCTGAGAGGAAATTTGAACTTGTAACTTGTAACGTGTTTGATTCACCAACCCCTGTAGGTGGCTAACAGCATTGGCGCCCATCTGAAGTCATTGAAGCCTTTGGCATCGCTTCTGACTGACATCCACAGTGACATGATGACGGAGTATGGCCAACTCGAGAAGATTGCTGACGGGTCTTTGGACGCCAAGTTGAAGGATTTCAGGGCTCTATTTGCTGAAGGCTTGTTTGTGTACAGCCACAGTAGCCGTCAACGTTCCAGCTTGCCTTCGGTTCGAGCACAGCTTGCACTGATTGCTGGAGAGATGATTGATGAGAAGAGTGTGCAGGTGGCGCTGCTTCAACGCGCTCGAGATCTGACTTCTGAATCCTGATGGGAGGGGAATAAATTCCTGCTTGAACACGGGCCGAAGCCTATGACAAATGACTGCGATTTAGAAATTAGGAGGATGGGTCAGTTTGATCTTGTGCCTTAAACTACCAAAGAGACCACAGCAAGAGTCAGAGTCAAAGTTTGTTTGTTTCTTTTTTAAGTGTTCAATATGTAGGCCTTAGGCCTTAGGCGCTGGCTTTGTGCTCAAGGAGTGCTATGCACAACGACTTGTGACTTGTGTCTGTCCATTTTCCAGGGCCAGAGCACGTGCATTTCAGGCTTTGGACTGGAGTCTCCAATGGATAGATCGTGTACAGCGCACTGTCATTTTTTTGCTGCACACTGCTTCAGAAAGGGCTGTGTACTGTTCAAACTCCATCAAACTCCTGTGATTTTTGCCATGAGCAAAGCTGGATACCTCGAAACTAGATTCTAGATTAACTAGATTGCTGAGACTGATGCCTTTTCTCAATCCCTGCGACCTGTGTCACACAGCTCAATGAAAGACCATGTACAAGAACATTGAGCCTACACCACACTGTGGTGAACAGACCCCGCACAGGAAAAAAACTGAAGAATCTGTGTTTCTTTTGTACTTTTCCTTCATGTTGTTTTGTGTCTGGAGTTTGGTTTTATTTTTTCTTTTCCTTTTGCCAAGTTGATCTTTGCTTTCTTGTTGAGTGTTTTTTTGAATGTGCGAGAATTGCTGAGTCTGTCATTGTTTTTTGTGTTTGTTTTTTTTGTTTCTATTTGGTTTTCTATTTTTTTAATTGATTCAGGGTCCCTCCAGGGATATCAATATGACAACTCTAGGGGTAGATGGACACCCTTTGTAATCCCTAGGGCTCCAACTACCTCCTGAGAAGGTGGTTGGGGTGGATTCCAGGGGGGTCTAACCACCGAACCTGAGGATATGGGAAAGGAGCCCTATAGAGAATATATATGCCCACCTTGACCCCTTTTCCGCCGCCGACTGATCGGCGCCACGAGGGATTCCACCTGGCCACCCGCCCCCATGGTCGGTCCGCGGGCCACCGGCGGCTTTGGTCGTTTCTTCCTCTCCGCAGGTCACAGAAGCTCAGATCTTTGTGCACCCTTGCGCCATCGACAACTGACGGAATCCGGACTCCTTGACCAATTTGAAGTCAAGGTAGCTATAGGTGTGGCTGGGCCCTGAAGAACTCGGAGAACTGGGTGTTTTGTTCCTTCATCGCTTCTCGACACGCACGGACCGTCCCCATCTTGTCACCGTCTCCGACTCGTCGCGACTCGCCGTTTTGGACGTGCCCAGTGGTCTTGACGTGCACAGAAAGAAACGAGGAGAGTCATGTGATAAGGGATTGAGCAGCGGAAGTTCAACTGTCCCTTTCAAGCCTTTCAAGCTTGGAAGTGGACAGTTGCCTCTTGGACAATGTTTCCCTACAAGCAACTGTTTTTTCCACTCGATTATTTCAAAGAGTAAAATCTCGATGACCAATGTGTCCGCAGGTGGGGCCAAATCATTGAACGGCGATGAACGGCGGTGTTTTATTCAAGCCTAGCGGCTTTGACTCGGGTATGAACAGTGTCAGCAACCTTCAAGAGGCATCAAAGCCCACAGAAAGAACATGTGTAGTAGAGTCGGGTGTTCACACCAGCTTCATGACGCTGTTTCACAGCATGTACATGTTGACAGAACTCATTACTCATCTTGTTAGGTTACACCGATCATTTTGAGAACCCCCTCGTTATGAACAGCAGACGAAACAGATCTATTCGCAGTTGGATCGGATGTCCTCAAGGTCGAAGGACGTCAGCCATGTCTGGTCCCCAGGATTGATAGGTGAAAAGGCGAGAAGAAATCCACCCCAAGAATGCCTGTGGCTTTATTTTTTTTTTTTGGGTGATGTTTTTTGTTGGTCATTTCTTTGGTGTTGAAATTCTACGCGAGACATCGATGTCCTGCCGCGAACGGATGCCGCGAACTTGGTCTTGCCCAACCTTTTTCTCATCGCTTCCCCTCCTCTCCTCCCCGGCGCCGTGGAGCGGCGATCGTGGAGGGGCGTCGTGGCGATCGTGGGTCTCTTGCTATCTTTTGCTCGGGTGGGGGTCGAGTCGATGTTCAGTGATTTCATTTCCTCCGAGGTTCACTTATATAGACATAGTTCACCCCCTTATCTGGGTTTTGTTTTTGTTCTCCAGCAAATCCGTGCCCAAGCTCAGATGCAGCGAATCCGTGTAGGCGAAGTTCTAGGCATCCGTGGATGGTCCAGAGAGAGCGTGCTTAGTTGCTAATCATCATGAGTCAGCTCATCCCAAGCCACTGGGTAAACACACCAAGAGAGGTTAAGTGACCTTATAGGACCTTACTGGGGTACCGAACTGGGATAGTCTAGTTCGGGTTCTTCAACCTCTGTTGGCATGTCCTGCACTGCACCAACTGGGCCACCGTGGAAGACGAGGCTTACCTCTCCGTGCGGCCTCCGGCCGCACATGCGCACGAACCGGCCGCGCGGCCGAACTCCCCGCCACAGCCCACGCTTACCGACTTTGGGGACTCAGGAGCCTAAATGAGCAATAGGCAAAACCTCCCTTGACATTCCATTAAGCATCTATATCATATCAATCTGTGGCGGCCAGGAAAACATGGGCCGAAGCTCAAATGGACACCCACTCCATGGCACCATGGCACTGGACGATTAATTACAGTGGGTTCAGAGTCTCCATGGCACAAGTGACCCCAGGTTAGGTGGTTGACTATGGACCCCCATTGGGTGCCAGGGCCATCTTGGGGTGCCCGGTTTCATCGAAGCTCTGAAACCACTGCAATTACGGAGGAAAAGTGGATCCCCTGCAGGTCAGCGGATCTAGTGGGAATGGTGGGGTGCCCCTCCTCACTATAAACAAGAACAGGTATAGAAAGTTTGGTTAACCTTTGTTTTCTCAGGAGTCATACCCCTACTACATTGACCCCCTTTCCCCCCCAAAAAAAGAACTCTGCCTCCTTCTACGGCCGTTTCTCGGCAGTCATGTGCCAGTTCTGTGGAGTGTTTGGGACATGAATGCCTGAAGCCAAGAACGATATCAGAATGCGTTGCTCCGCTTCCACTTTTCCTTCAGGCCCCCCCGAAGAGAGGAGGATTTTTCTGGGCTCACAGGGTGGGAAGTGGGTTTGGGACTTCTTCAGGAGAACTTCTATATAGCATCCAATGCCCAATCCAGACAGGGTCCTGAAACGAAACGGACAAGCCTTTGGGACCTGAGACCAACCCGGTCACGGGGCGCCCGCTGTTTTGTATGAAGAAGGCACAGGCGTGGCCGGACAGTGGTGAAAGCGCATGTGGATGTAGGATGATGCAGGAACTTGAGGCTTGAAGTTGCTGGAAGTGTGGGAATCTGCTTGCACTGTGGCGTGGATGTCTACGGCGCATCTCACCTTTATCGTACGTTCCTTGCCGCAGCCAGGTTCAGTGGATCCACCCCCACCTTACGCAATCCACAGCACATCATGGCTAGCTTGGTCACTACAGAAGTGTCTCAAAGGAGGAATGATCCAGGGCTGCGGCTGCCTTTCGCTGACTTGCATGGGAAGATTCGTCGGATGCAGGGTTGATTTATTGCAACCCTTTGGACTGCCTGACGAGCTCAGCGAGTCGCTATGCCTGCGTCGCTCCACGATCGTTTGTCTTTCACGCGGATTGGCGTAAAAATCGTTGGCGCGTTTGGGCGCGCGCGCGCGCGAGCCGCGGGTTCAGGTCTTTGAGGTGGTTCGTGGGAGGCGGAACCTGGGCCTGACTGGGTTTCTGCCTGTGCGCCAGCGACAAGTGAAGCACACACCTTGCTCAATCTCCCCTTGTCATTTGTCGTTGTTCTCATGCGTTTTGATTGATTGTGTTTAAGATCAAGTGATTTCACACGAATTGCGGACGGGGGCGTGAACTCCGAGTCACAAACCAGGCATGTCGGATTTGGCATGTTGGGCGTTTCGGCCGGCCATGTCGGAGACAGGCTGTACCCCAAGTCAGACTCACGTCGAAGTCGTAATCCTGACCACCCACCACTGAAGTCTCATGTCACCTAAAAGCCTAAGGACCTAGTCTCATGTTGGTAAGGTCCTGGTTTGAATGATGCTTTCTTTGAAGTGATCGAACATCCGGAGGAACCTCCAAAAGCCGGCCCTGGTCGAAGGAGGTTCGAAGGCCGAAGCTTCATCGGGTCAGGCGGCTGACGCTCGTCGCAGGTATCGGAGAGCCGGGTGGAGGACCACAACAAGACCTGTATGAGGTGCGTGGACCACGTGACGCGCCGCGAAGTCCTCCCATCTGAAGATTGGATGCTGAAATTGTTGTACCTAGCTGGAGACCTTTAGGTATTGTGGGGTCCAGCCAGGTGACCCGTTGGAAGGAGCTGGTAGCCATCGGAGCTGAACTGAAGCCAGCCATCATGAGGTGGGAGAAGCTCGAAGATTTCACGAAGTCCTCTCTGTCTCTTGCCCGTCTCCATCATTTGGGTTGTATATGGGCCAATGACTTGAAGCCCACCGTGTGAATAGTACCTCTTGATCGTTGTTTAAACGTCAACTCCACCTCCCATTCTAGACCCTGAGCGCAAATTGCTTTGGTCCAGATCCCGGCCCCCTCGGTGGTTTTGAGGTCCAAGGGTCGTTTGGTGAAACCCCAAGATTCCATGACAAAACACCACGGGATTGCCTGAAATACAAGATCAGCTGAGGGGTGGTTGACCCGGGCAATTTTATACCAGGACATACCAGGACCGAAACCAAGTCCGGTTTTTGGACACCTAACCTCTTACCTCTAAGAGGCTATTTACAGACACCTAAGGAAGGTCCTGGTAGGGTTCCATGGGACCATGGTCAGGCGTGGGAGTTATCATTTGGTGGTCCTCGTTGGGATGGTCATCGAAGGCGCGCGGGGTTCCCGGTCGACGCTCCGCGCGTGAACGACGGGGGGCGAAACGGGTTGAGCTGAAGAAGGGCAACCGACACTCAATGACGGGCACTCCAAAAGCACTTGAAGTCCGACTTTTCAAGATCCAAAATGATCCAACAGTTTTTAGGCAGCCCTTCAACTGCTGTGAATATTGCCGATGTTCAATGTATCCCTATATGAGATGTTGGTCTCTATAACATTCAGAACTTTTTAACCTCCAAAGGTTTGAATGGTTTCACCAATGTTTTTAATATATGTACCCACAGGCAGGACACATACATCTTTCAAACGAGCCCAATACCCAGACACTCCATGGGACTAGAATATACACCGCTTTTGGTCCCTTTCAATCACCCCGGGCATAGATTCATAGATGCCTTACATGGAGTGTCTGGGTAGGGTAGCATATGAGTCATTGGAAGTTCTGGGTCAGTCATCGCCGGCAACCTCCAAAAAAGACCCCTCCTTGCCAAGCTGGACACAGGTCATTTCCGTGCAGAGTGCCGAATTGTTCTTGAGTCGAGGTGTGTGTGTGTGTACCCCTTGGAATCACAGCCTGTAGGATTGTGATCTTGAAGACCTCCAGGTCCGGTGGTTCTTCCATGCACTCTTATAGGAAATGGTCACCTAGGCCGGCGTGTGGCAAACCGCTTTCAGTTCAGTACGCAGATTCATAAGTGTGTGTGTGTTCATGGTCGATTCCTTCTTGTCACACAGACTTGAGATTTGGGAGTTCACTTCGCCACATGGCCGCATGCCAGTCACACAACGCTCAGAACGTTCCAGGGCATGGATGTAATTGAAAAAAGGGTTCCCTCATTCCTTGCTAGGCGTGAACGATGCGGAGGGGGGCGGGCCAGAAGCTGCAAAGAGCGCTCTTAGAGGCGCGGGTCGGCTAGCTGCTGCGATGGCGGCGGGAGCGACGGCTGAGGGTCACTTTGATATCGGTATATCTGGTATCCAGTTCATCCTCCCTGAAGCAAGGAAGGAAGGAAGGAAGGAGCCGGCACTCGGTTGCCACATGTTTCTTTAGATGTTGCCTGATGGAGGTCGTGGCGAGTGAGTGGGCAGGAGTCAGTGGAGGGTGTGAATGGGAGATGAGAAGCTCTCCACCGCGAGAAATGAAGAGATCACGAAAGGTAGATCAGTGAGATCCAACGACATGACGTGTATGGCCCCACTGAAGGCTCTGGCTGGTACGTGCACATGGAAAAACCCAGGATCGCACCGCTAACTCGCAGGGTGAACACCTCCCTCGCGAAGGGTGGCGAAGGGGTTTGGCAGAACTTGGACTCCAGCTTGAGCCAGCTCAAGCTGAGCACCTCTCATCGGACAGACCCCTCTCGCTACCTCCATGGATAGCATCCTAAGCTCCGTGGAA